CAACTGTGGTTCTCATCTCAACTTTGTTTCAAGATGCAGATTTTATATTTTACATCTAGTAACAAAAAGTTGACAAAAGTTAACAATAAAGTCCTTAAAATTAAATATTAACTCCATAACATGTAAAATTATTAAGATGTTGGTTTACCAAAATGTGTATTGTTTTAAGTGGGACCATATGAAGAAACAAATACCGGAATAATGTCATTTTACCAAGTGAGAAAAAACCATTGTGGTTTTCACAAAAATATTAAGCAGCACAATTGTTTTCAACATTGATAATAATAAGAATTTTAACTTGATCAACAAATTAGAATGATTTCTAAAGGATCGTGTGACCCTGAAGACTGGAGTAATGACTGCTGAAAACAGGAATAAATTACATTTCAGAGATCACAGAAAAGTTATTTTAAATTGTAATAATTAATAATTTCACAATATAACTTGTATTATATACTGTATTATTTAAAACATGGGTGTGTTCCCTTTTCTGTCAAAGGTATAGCCTAAGCCTAATATATTCTGCCTTTTGAAAATATGCATGATTATATGGTTAGCTGCTTTTTATTATTTGTATTCAGAATTGTTTTTCCCTGCTGTCTGTGACATGCATGACACATAAGTTGAGAGAAAAAACCATTGTGGTTTTCACAAAAATATTAAGCAGCACAATTGTTTTCAACATTGATAATAATAAGAATTTTAACTTGATCAACAAATTAGAATGATTTCTAAAGGATCGTGTGACCCTGAAGACTGGAGTAATGACTGCTGAAAACAGGAATAAATTACATTTCAGAGATCACAGAAAAGTTATTTTAAATTGTAATAATTAATAATTTCACAATATAACTTGTATTATATACTGTATTATTTAAAACATGGGTGTGTTCTCTTTTCTGTCAAAGGTATAGCCTAAGCCTAATATATTCTGCCTTTTGAAATATGCATGATTATATGGTTAGCTGCTTTTTATTATTTGTATTCAGAATTGTTTTTCCCTGCTGTCTGTGACATGCATGACACATAAGTTGAGAACCACTGCAAGATACAATAATTAATAAACATTCAATCAATTGGTCCTTTTTTCCGTTTCTCACTTTTAGAACGACCAAAACACAAAGACTTTGGAACAATCAATCAAGCCCCTTACACTAGCGGCTAGTGCCTTAAAGAACTGTGAGGGTCAAAGTTTACATCTTTAGTACAGGAAAATGTCAATAGGAAGAGCAGTGAGGCCTCATAAGTTGCCAATAGTCTTTTCCTGAGCCCATTCTTCCCGTCACTTCTAGCCACTCAGTGTAACTACAAAAGAGTCAAAGGTTAAACTCATCATCTAAGTAAAGGGAAAATGTCAAGACTATCAAGTAAAGATTCATCTATTAAATGCAGTACATAAAGTATACAGTACCACAAGTTCAAACTATGAAAATTACTAGTTTGCTGAAGACATTTTTAGACTTGAATTTTGTCTGAATAACACATGAAAGCTGGAAGGCTCTGCCACGGCATACTGATTATCAACTATTTCATCTGCAGTATCAGAGCCAGTGTCTGGAAGAATTTGGAACATGGTCTCAGGCAGCACTTGTAATTGTTTTTGGAAAAGTGCAGAGGATTGGCAAAAACCTCCCCAAGATCCTCTAGGGGCAGACCAAACAACACTGCCATATAAAGTCAAGCCCTCAGCGCACATCAAATTAAGCTGTTATTTCAGAGTGCCCACACAAACTCTAGTTAAAAAAAATGACGTTGTGTAAACAGTCATGGGCAGAGTTCAAATCATGTTACAATGTACAGTATGTGTCAGCAGTCCTGACACTTGTTTAACTTTGACACCTCACTGTAAAGAGCTTAAACCATAAAACCCAACTAAACAGATTGGAAAAATTTGCTTTAAATCTCTTGGTTAAACAGTCTGTCTTTCATAGAAGGGCTGCATTTCAATTTTGTTATATTTAGGAGCTTCTTTGGCAGAGCAAACCCTGGCTGACTATAAATACAGCTTATTTCACTGAATAAAATGTATCTACATTATCCAAATGAGCTTTGCTTTAACATCACATACTGTATGTTCTTCCTGAATTCAAAGCAAATGGCCTTCAAAAGGAATCACATAAAAAGTGATTTCCAGTTCAACAGCACTCTTCTTTATCACTCCAGAGGGCACAGGATGTGATTTGGCATCACATAGCTGCTGCTCTTCCAGCTGAAGCCCCAGACACAGATGTGGAGACTGAAGAAGCAGGAAGCTGGCCGGGTCACACCCTCTGCAAATAACAAACTGCACATGCCATCTCCCAGCCAGGGAGAAAATCAGGCCATGGCTGAGAGGTGGGAAAAAACAGACACCTTGTGCTTTTTGAGTCACTGGAACCAGTAAGCATCTCCTGTTGCTAATTAATGGCCAAGTTGTTTATCTGCATCCACATGGTGTTTGAAATATTCACTTTTCAATCGAATATCTCGTAATCGAAAAGATGCCGCTTAAACTGAGACGAATACAGCGATCTGTCACGCTACATTAAAGAGCGTGAAAAACACATTATTGCAAAGAATATTGTTTGTATTTGCTATAAAACTGCCCGAATTTAAAAGCTGAGACTTTGTTTTATATCAAAAGTACCAAAAGCACAAAGCTCATTGTTATTATTGAGTGGCTGGCGCACTACAAATAATGAATGCATTCAAAGACTTGAAATATTATTTCCAAGCATACTGTCCCTGCGAGTATATGACACATCCCACATATATAATCCCACACCCACATATATTCAAATCAGTTGCCAGGCCACCGGAATTTTTCCCAGTGCTCCCAATCCAGACCATTTGCATGCTCAATATAGGCTATACTCTCAAAATATTATAACATTAATCTCGTAATTGCTACAACTTAATTCTCGTAATTTTGACTTTATTCTCAAAATATTTCAACTTTATTCTCATATTATAACTTTATTCTTGTAGTTTTGATTTTTTTCCTCAAAATATTACAACTTTAATCTCATAATCTTAGATTTATTTTTTAACGTGGCACTAAACTGCTGTCGTACAACATAAATTATAGGAATAAATGATATTTTTAAATATATTATAGAAAATTAATTTAAACAGTAATCATATTTTTCAATATGACTATTTTTACTGTATTGTTACTGTAGCATAAGACTTAAAAAACATGAAATAATCTTACTGACCTAAACCTTTGAACAGTAAGGTTTAGGTCAGTAAGATTATTTCATGTTTTTTAAGTTTCATTATATTTATTTATTAAATAATTTATGGTTTTAAAAAGGAGCTCAACTTTATGACTGACTACAATTTCAATGGTATGTACACATTTGAAATTATTATTATTTATAGCTTATTATGTGATCCAAAAACATATCCTTCAATTAACTGGAAAACACTAACTGTAATATCACCAGAACTATAAGGTAATTTAGTGTCCTTGTGAGACAACAACATATAGGTCATATGTTAAGCTAATCACTAGTTAAGTGACATTACAGAGAAGCGATTTTATGACATTGCTATTTGAACCATTAACAAAAAGTGCTGAATTCTCAAACTACATTCACCTTTACCTTATAAGAGCCAGCAAGTCATTTATTGACACTGTGCTGATGAGGAAATGTGATCCACATCAACAAAAACATAAAACACAATAGCAGGATATCCACTGCAAACTTGTTAGAACAATAAGGCCGATCAGAGGGGGATGTTGCCATGGCCAACACACCTCTGAGGCTGTCATACAGCAATCTGGCTCAGCAGGTGCAGCCAGTTGTATGAAGCTACAGACTTAAAAAACATGAAATAATCTTACTGACCTAAACCTTTGAACAGTAAGGTTTAGGTCAGTAAGATTATTTCATGTTTTTTAAGTTTCATTATATTTATTTATTAAATAATTTATGGTTTTAAAAAGGAGCTCAACTTTATGACTGACTACAATTTCAATGGTATGTACACATTTGAAATTATTATTATTTATAGCTTATTATGTGATCCAAAAACATATCCTTCAATTAACTGGAAAACACTAACTGTAATATCACCAGAACTATAAGGTAATTTAGTGTCCTTGTGAGACAACAACATATAGGTCATATGTTAAGCTAATCACTAGTTAAGTGACATTACAGAGAAGCGATTTTATGACATTGCTATTTGAACCATTAACAAAAAGTGCTGAATTCTCAAACTACATTCACCTTTACCTTATAAGAGCCAGCAAGTCATTTATTGACACTGTGCTGATGAGGAAATGTGATCCACATCAACAAAAACATAAAACACAATAGCAGGATATCCACTGCAAACTTGTTAGAACAATAAGGCCGATCAGAGGGGGATGTTGCCATGGCCAACACACCTCTGAGGCTGTCATACAGCACTCTGGCTCAGCAGGTGCAGCCAGTTGTATGAAGCTACAACAGACACAGCAAATACAACAATGCCAGTAATTACTTTAATGTTGACATTAAATGTGTAATTCATTGTTCCCTTGACCTGAAAAACTTAAGGCTAGTTTACTCCAGATGTATTATGTAGCCTACTCTCTAAAATATGAGTCAATAACTATATGATTCACTCTTCAAGATGTTTTGCGAGATGTTTTGAATTACACCTTCATCTGACCACAGTAGATCCTAGCTAATGCATTATGCAATGAGGATGATTCAGATTTGTAGTTACTAGCTCACAGTACGAGTACAGTTCAGAAATATAATCACAATGTAACTGTGTAGGCCTAACACTAACCTGCATCACATATTGATATGACTGTGGGTGTGGGTGAGTGTGTGTGTGTGTGTGTGTGTGTGGTTTAGACAGAAGTGAAGAAGAGAAGTGAATAGAGTTCATTTTTGTTTTAAATAATTGAGATTCGACTTCAAAATCCAAAGCAAAAATACAGAATACAGGTACCACTATGATACCTGTCCCGTACAAAAGCAAGTGGCAACTGGGACCCCAGTATAAGTGAATTATCTTACCTGAGTTTGAGGTTGGCCATAAACTCTTCCAAAGACACATTGTCCAGAAGAACAAAGTCCGCCTTTCCGAACTCCAGACTTTCGTGCTCTGCCATATTAACGCGTTAGTAATACAGAAATGCCAAAATGTAAAGCTAACTATTGACTATCCCACGAATGCACAAATCAATTCGACAATACCAAAACGGAGGTATAACATATCTCCATGAATTTGTTTACATTCGCCTAGCGCACTACCCGTCGGCTTCTTTTCATGTTATTAGTAAAGGAATATTTAAACAAGCATTGTTTGTTAACTATAAGCTGTTGTCGTCTTCCCAAAGGCTGAAATTCCTAAAGCTACACGCTCCTCGGTCGCCTGAAAACTTCACACAACTTTTCGAGCCTCCCGGTGTTTAAAAGTGATAGTCCGCTACATCGAGCGTCCCACCTCTCATCCCTTTTTCCACGAGCTTCTCCCGTCTCGCCTAAACACACTGTGGCTTCTGTATCCTGCCCGTCTCGCCGAAGCCCCTCCCCTGCGAGGCGCGAGCTAAACCGTTCGCGCTTAGCCTACCTCTAAACATCAATTGATAAAGTTACAAAGGTAGTTTCGAGTCGGCAGTATTCACATCTGTTACTTAAACCTATCAACTTTTTTGTGTTACTAGTAGCATACTTATTTTTATTAGGCCTACGTAATCCAAAATTTGCAACAATCAAATTCAAACTAGTCAGAAGTTAAAATTGCGCTGAAACTCAAAGAATTACATTTAGAATTAATATAGAATTCAATAGCAAAAATGTGCGTTTCTTAGCAGTAGGAAATAGCATGTCACTATTTGGACAGCGACTACTAGAAAGGAGTGAATTCCACTTTAGGAATAAGTACTAGTAGCTTATCTCGTAACTTTACAAGTGAAATTGAATTGTTTTTGTAACATACAATACATACTTAGTTTAAAAAAGGAGTAAATTTTAAAATCATTTGCCAAAGTTAACATTATAATTATCAGTAATTTTAAGGGGATGGTCACATTTTAATTGTGCAAAGTTAGCATTCCTTTTATACTACTATTAGTCAACATCAGTGAGTTTCTTAATATCACTGGAATGTCCGTCTGTCCTCTGGCTATATAAGGAAATGGATAAAATACCATTTGAGTGAGTCTCAGGGTTGTTCAGCATTTTACTTAATTACAACAAATCTGACAACAGAACTAACCAAAACCACATTTACAGGTGCTCACATGTAAGCACAATAATGGTTTAAATTAGCGTTAATGAAACACATTTACTTTTTTAAATGATTTTGGCCTGGCATGTGCTGTCAACATGTCTGTAGTGACCTCAAGACACAAGGTGTTTAAGTTTAATGAGGACTGAAGATGGCTTCAGGTTGCTCTGTGCAGCTATCAGTGGCCAAGTGACAGCCTCCCTGATTAAATACAATAGGATGACTCTGCTGCCCCCACCTGTGTCTCTAGGAGACTGGGACAGTACTATTCCTGAAAGTTACATACTAGTTTATTATAGTAGTCATCTACTACAATAACAATAATTATAGTGTAAAAGAAAAAAACGTTTGTTTAAAAAATAATTTACACACAATATTTTAAAAAATAAAAATGTTTATATTTAAATATAATTAAATAATTAAACTGTGTATTATTTAGTATTATATATTATTGCTATCATTAATATATCATATTTTAATTATATTTAAACAAAATATTTTTTATAAAAAGAAATATTAAAAAAATGTAATAAAATCAATATTTTTTGATAATATTACTTACAAAATATAACATGTAAGTTGAAATATAATTAAAAATATTACATACATACAAGACAAACTATTTTATGGCAATGTTTAATAGAAAAAAGCAAATGTTAAGAGTATTTTCATTTGAAATATATATTTCAGCAAGGGATTTTTAACAAATGTTGTTTTATTTTACAGTATTATTATTGTTATTGTAGTAATTATAAGTATTATGTGTATATATATATATATATATATATATATACAGTGGGGAAAAAACGTATTCATAGTTGAGGTATACCTATGATGAAAATTACAGGCCTCTCTCATATTTTTAAGTGGGAGAACTTGCACAATTGGTGGCTGACTAAATACTTTTTTGCCCCACTGTATATATATATATATAATGACAAAAAAGTTGTTGTTTAGTCGCAAACCTGACCTCCATACGTCATTCCCCCGGAACTGCTAACAGTGAGCGCAAGCCACATTAAAGTGATTATTACGTTTTGAATATGGATATTTTTCTTACGCATCGATTCGCTACAGAAGGCCATTGTTCACGCCCCGGAGCCGTGTGAGACACTTTTTTTAATTGGATGGGCGCATTTTATTTAACTTCTTTTGGACTGAAGCAATGCAACGCCCGCTGAGTGGCATGAAACAGCTTGAAAGATCAAAGACCATTTTTAATATAACTCCGACTGGATTCGTCTGAAAGAAGAAAGTCATATACACCTAGAATGACTTGAGGGTGAGTAATTTATGGGCTAATTTTCATTTTTGGATGAACTAACCCTTTAAGGGTATTTGCATTTGAAATAAATCTCTCAGCAAGACACATGTTTAAAAATAGTTACAGCAATGAATAAACAGATCTAGCAGAACATGTTTTACCATTGTATATATTACATAAGTCAATCCGACTAGTTGGTACTATTAAATTGACCTCTAATTAAACTATAAATGTTCTGAATTTTGTCTCAGATGACTTTAACATTGCCTTAGATTTTTCTCAACATAAGCAATGAACCACCAAAAACGATGGTGTTGGATGCATTACTGGCCCAAGAGCGGCCACGGTTATGGGTCAAATAAACCGTAGCACCCTTGCGCAGAGTCGTCATGTATGTAGAGAGATTCCCAACCGAGTTGGAGCCCTGAACATTGCTATGAGACACAGCCACCCAGTAATTATTTACAACCAGCCATAGATTAGTTGTCCCACTCCCCCCAGTCTGTGTGGAGAAGAAGAACTGATAGACGCCAGAAACTGGAGCTCTAAATATCCCAGTCCGAGTGTTGAAAGCCCCGCCTTGATTCACATACACTTTCCTGTACATAATCCTGTTCACTTTTCCTGAGATGCTGGCCGGGTAGGTGACAAAAAAATGGACGTTTACTTTCACTTCAAATCACAAGGAAAGAAAATGCTGCATTATTTCCTTAAAAGGAAGATAATTGTAATAATAAGAACTAAATTTCACAGTGTTTAGTAATTTAAATACTGTTAAAGAGAAATTACTCACTTCTCATTTTGTTTTTTTTACACATCCTGGTGATTTTGTCTCTGCTGATGCAAGACTCAGTTTTTCTGCACTTTCCACAGACAATTGTGTTAGTATCTGAAAGGATGGTGTACAAGAGTCAATAGCTTATATATAAATACCTAACATTTCTCTGAAAATCCACGTGCATCATATCTTACCTGCACAATATGCCAGATGGCAAGCTACCAGTTTGACAAACTTGTAAACGTAGTAGTTTCCCCTACATGCTTTCACTTGAATGGGAGGAGATTTGAACAAGCAGCAGTTGTTTTTCCAGTTTCCACACACCTTGCGGGTGACAACCCCGTCCCGTTTCCGGGGATGACCGCCGACGAGCCACAGTGGAGCATGCGTGCCACACATTTCTTTCCTCACACACCTCTCAGGCATCTGAATGGGTTTCCCACATGTACAAGAGACGGTACCAGCCCTTCCACTGGACACGACGGTCACAAGCAACATTCTTGGTGGTGTAGTTTGTGGCTCTCCAGGCTTGGTCCAACGCTGTATAGTGATTGCAGGGGTCAGAGGCCTCGTGACTGTCATCCTCACCAGAGCCTTCATCTCCATCTCCATCCTGGGTGAGGGTATACAGCAAATGGTTGCTGCCTATTAAAGACAGACATAAATTTTCTTCTCTTTTTGAAGAAAAAAAAACTGGATGGTATGGACTGGATAGTATTAATGAAGTAAGTGTGTCCAAACTCTTCAAAATAATTCATTAAAACACTTATATTTTCAATCTATTGAATTTTTTTTTCTAATTACTTAATGGCACTCATTAATTTTTCTATTTATCCATTAATAGCAATTAATTTTAATCATTTTAAACTTAATTATAAAATGTAATAATAATAATTATAATAATTAAAAAAAAAAATTTCTTATTATAATTAAATAAATATGTAAACAAACTTAAAGCATACAGGGACTTTCTTTCTTTCTTTCTTTCTTTCTTTCTTTCTTTCTTTTTAACTTACCTGTTTGTAGTGATGTCAAATTCATCTCCACATCTGTAGCAATAGGCTTTTGTGAACAGTATGGTAATGCCTACAACAAAACAATCATATTAGTTTCTGAAGAAAATCGTTTGTCTCACAGTAGGATAAATTTAGATAGATTGGGCCATATTTTGACATTGAAATTTATATTATGGAACAATTAACCTGCATATATTATTCATTACATATTTATTTTTTTTACAACTTTTGCTTGAAACTTTTTTTTATGTCCAATACAATTTAGCAGATTAAAATAATTAAATTTCTTTCTCTTTCTCTTTCTTTCTTTCTTTCTTTCCTACTTTCTTTTTCCTTCTTTCATTCTTTCTTTTTCAACCAGCAAAAAATCTTGAATTATCGGCTTTAATCTTACCTGGCTGAAGGCTTCTTGCTTTTGTTTCATTACTGCTTGTTCATATTTCAAGCTTTCCATCTCCTAAATAAATACAGAGAAAAAAAATGTTCATACCGCTCTCCCATTAGAAACTGAAATGCTTAGGACACCAAAGCATTTTAAATTCACCACTACCTTATACACAACAGCAAGTTGCTCCTGCAAAGGCTGGTCAACCATATTGCAAGCTCTGAATGTATACTGGAAGACATAAAATATTGTGAAATATTGTGATAAAATATTGTGAAATAACGTTTTCTGCTACATTACACAGTTACTGTTCTGCTACATTACACAGTTACTGTACAACGGCAATTATAATATAAGAATATTGTAAAATGTTGGTCTTATTTGTTTATAACATTATTATATTAACCAAATCAATGCTTACTGAAATTTCTCTGTTCGCAGTGTCAGCTGCACAGATAACCAGCATGGCAAACATTTGAACACATAAGGAAAGCATCTAAAAGTGAGAGTAAAAAACTGCATTAGACTTTGTATTGTTTATCTATATACATTAAAAAATACATTTAATAATTTTTAAAATAATAAGATTTTCAGATAGGTTAATGTAAGTGATTTGATTTTTTTTTTTTGATTTTTTTAGAAATTATAAACATTTGAAGCTTACCTTTTCACAAAGAGCAGATCTCTTTGCGTTATGCAAGTCAACTATATAGAATAAGGTTTATATACTGCACCATATAATGGGTGGACACTACTGCTATGCAAAAGGAAGTTGCTGGTTTGACTTTCACACCAATATTCTCTTACATGAGGCTCTTCAC